TCATAGAGACACAGAGAGAGAGAGGCAGAGACACAGGCAGAGGGAGAAGCCGACTCCATGTAGGGAGCCCGACGTGGGACCTGATCCCGGGTCTCCAGGATCACGCCCCCAGCCGTAGGTGGCGCTAAACCGCTGCACCACTGGGGCTACCCTTCACTCTTTATTTTGTTGATAGTGTCCTTTGATGCACAAAAGGTTTAAGATTTTATTTTTAAGTAATCTATACCCAACATGGGGCTCAGACTCACCATCCAGAGATAGAGTCATACACTCTACTGATTGAGCCAGCTGAGTGGCCTCCCCCCACCCTTTTTTTTTAAGATTTTGGTACACAAAAGATTTTTATTTTGCTAATAGTTCAACTTGTTTTGTTTCTCATCTGTGCTTTCAGTGTCATAGCCAAGAAATCATCACTAAATCCAATGTTTGGAAGTTTCCTCTGCATTTTCTTCTAGTAGCTTTATAATTTGAGGTCTTACAACTAGGTGGTTCATGTTTTTGTTTTTTTTTTAAGATTTTATTTATTCATAAGAAACACAGAAAGAGAAGCAGAGACACAGGCAGAGCAAGGAGAAATATGCTCCATGCAAGGAACCTGATGCGGGACCCGATCCCGGCAATTTGGGATTACTCCCTAAACCAAAGGCCGATGCTCAACCACTGAGCCACCCAGGCGTCCTTGGTGTGATTTATGTTTAGTTAAGTTTTGTATGTGGTGTGAGGTAGGGGTCCACCATCATTCTTTTGCATGTGGATATCCAGTGTTCCCAGTACATTGGTTGAAAAGACTGTCCTCTTCCCTTTGAATGGTCATGGCATCCTTCTTGGAAGTCAATCTGACCACACATGTGAGGGTTTCTGGGCTCTCCATTCTGCTCCACTGGTCTGTATCACTGTCATGCCAATACCACACTGATTTATAGTCAATTTTAAAATCAGGAAATATGAAACCTGAAAATCTTACCCAAGACTGTTTTGGTTATTTGGCCTCCCTTAAGAAGCCAAATTCACATAAAAGAATTCTATATGATTTTTACGATGGATTTCTTTTTTTAAAAAGATTTTATTTATTTATTCATGACAGACACATGCACAGAGAGCAGAGACACAGGCAGAGGGAGAAGCAGGCTTCACGCAGGGATCCCTGTTCTCCAGGATCAAGCCCTGGGCTGAAGGCAGTGCTAAACCACTGCCCCACCCGGGGTGCCCCTTAGAATGGATTTTTTTTTTAAATTATTATTTCTGTAAAAGCATCATTGAGATTTTTGATAAGGATTGCGGTGAATCTGTAGATCACTTGGACATAACAAGTTTAAGTCTTCCAACATATGAATGTGTATATCTAATTTGGTATCTAATTTTGATATCTTTTAATTTTTAAAATTTTGAAGTGGGCTCCATGCCCTGAGATCAGGACCTGAGCTGAGATCAAGAGTCAAACACTTCACTCAATGAGTGACCTTAATTTATTAGTTTTAACTTTTGGGGAGAATCTTTAGGGTTTACTACATATAAAATTATATCATCTGGAAACATAATTTTACTTCTCCCCTGCCAATCTGGATCCCTTTTATTTCTTTTTCTTGCCTAATTGCTCTGCCTAGGATTTCTAGTACTATGTTGAATAGAAGTGGTGAGAGTGGGCATCCGTGACTTGTTCCTGACCTTAGAGGAACTGCTCTCAGGCTTTCACCATTGTTAATGTGTTTGCTGTGTGGATTCTTCATATATGACCTTTAGAAAGTTAAGGAAAATTTCCTCTATTCCTAGTTTATTAAATGTTTTCACCAAGAAAGAGTGTTGAATTTTGTCAGATTCATTCTCTGCATCAATTGAAATGATCGTATAGTTTTTGTTCTTCATTCTGTTAACGTGGTACATCATGTTGATTAATTTTCCTGTGCTCCATGATCGTGCTTTCCAGGAGTAAATCCCACCTGGTCATTGGGTAGAAGTCCCTCGCTGTGCTAATGATTTGGTTTGCAAGTATTTTATTGAAAAATTTTGCATCATTGTTCATAGAGGGTATTGCTCAGTAGTTTTATTGGGTGTTTTTGTCTGATTTTAATATCAAAGTTATGCTGGGCTCAGAATGAGTTAGGAAGTGTTCCTTCCTCGTCAATATTTTGGCAGAGTTCGAGGAGGATCAGTGTTTGTAAGTGTTGACAGAATTCATTGGTGAAGCCATCGAGTCCAGAGCTTGCTGTTTTTTGTTTTTGTTTTTAATGCAGTTTCCTACGTCTCAATAATCTCAGGCTCACGGGAAAGTTGCAAGGATGACATGGAGCCTCCCCCACCTCCATGCTGTGACTTCTTTCATGATGCACATTGGCCATGTCACTGTGGACTCCACCTCAGACTTAATCTTTTCCGGATCCCCTCCAAGGTCTCCCATGTTATTCAGTTGCCATGTCTGCTTCAGCTCCTCTGGGCTATGACAGTTCCTTAGATGACTCTTGTTTTTGATGATCCTGGCAGTTTTGAGGAGTGCTGATCAGGTGTTAAAGAGATTGTCCTGATGTTTTTCTCACAGTTAGACTGAGATTGTAGGTTTTGGGAGAAGATCCCAGAGATGAGGTACCCTTCTGGTCACATCCTGACAGGAGACACATGACATCCGTACATCACAGGGATGTGACCTGTTGAGGGTGGTGCCCCCCAGGTTTCTCTGTGGTACTAAGTGCAGCCATCCCACAGTAGGGATCCTGGCCTCCTTGGGCAGACATGCCTTCTCAAAGGGGCTCCTGACTCCCTGTACCTTCCCACCAGGGAAGCTTCCAGGTGCTTTGGGTGCCCAGTGATCAGAGGCAGTGGAGCCTGGTGGGATACTCTGACCAAGCCATTGCTGGGGGCTCCCAGGGAGCTCTCTTCCTAGGGGCCCTGCCCTCCCCTCAGTATCAAAATGGACCTGCTCCTCAGTGGCATGTGGTGGTTCTGTTATCTATGCCCTGGCCTGAGGGGAGCTTTGGTCTCTGAAGTAGGGGCCTTTCGGGTCTACGGTGGGGGGCTGAACTGCTTCCTGACAGCTGGAAGCTTTGTTTTTAGAAAGTCATTGAGAAACGCAGTGATGTGAGAACATAGCACTGGTGCCAATGGGGGATGTGGGCAAAGCCACAGGCATTGCAAGGATGGTGGCTGCCCTGGGCCGTGGATTCACTTGTAAGCACGCGTGTATGTGTGGACACACCTGCACACAGGGAAGCAAAGCATGTGCTTTTGGCATGTTGGCATGTGTGTGTTCTGCTGGGGGGCCAGTCCCTTCCTAAGACTGAGCACAGGCTTGTGGTAGAAGTTACCGGCTAGCAATCTCCTTAGTGGACTCAACATCCCAGTCTGCCCCCACCCCCAGGAAGTCTTTCAGGGTCTTGGAGGGCATCTCCATAGGCAAGCACATGGGTGGGGCCAGGCAGGCTGCCTCATCCCTGGGTCTGGCCCTGTCTTGCAGGGTGGGTGGTTCCTGGTGACTGGCACACTCTGAAAGCCTGGGGCTGGGAGACACTTTTCCCCTGCAGGTGGCCACTCTGGGTGCCCTGCATCAGTACTCTCTTTTCCTGTCAGGCCATGGCATATGCTTCCGAGGATGGGGTCCTCACTGAGGCGATGATGGATGCCCGAGTCCAGGATGCCATGCAGCAGCACCAGCAGAAGATGCAGTGGTTGAAGGCTGAGGGGACCAGACCTGAGGGTGGCCAGTTCCTGATCCCAAGTACACAGGCTGAATGAGCTGGGCCTGAGTACCCAGATGGCTTTACCAGGAAGAAGCACCAAGATGCCCACATCTCATGGTGATCGGCCTACACAGTCGCCCACCTCAGCATTTTTAAATACTCCTCCAGTCAGGGCCAGGACAGCATTAAAGCCCTCTGCTTGGGACCAGCGGCAGCTGTGGCGTCTTTGTGGTGGGGTTGGCTCCTCTGTCCTCCAGACTGTGGTGCTTGCTGGAGAGAGCCAGGCCATCCCCTGACCCCAGGACGCTACTGGGAGATATGTTTCCAAGCCAGACCCATGCCTGGGAACAGTGGTGAAGCTGGCACTGCCGGTTCTCAGGTGCTGGCTAAGCTCTCCTGGCTGCTACATCTGTGACCAGAGGGGCCTAGGTGAGGGAGATCTGGGCATGGGTAGGGGCCTGACTTGCCCAGTCTCACCCAGCAAGTGAGGGTTGTGCAGAGCAGGTCGTTGTACTGCTGGGTGGGAGCTGCTTCTCCCAGTCTGCCCCCACTCCCTGAACTAGGGAGAGGGAGAAGCCCTGCACACATCTGACCGTGATGCACCCAGGGGTAAGAACTAGCTGCCAGCAATTGGTGCGAGTGCCTGCAAGACCCCAGACCCATTGGCCAGGAACTTCTGGTGTGTGGCGGGGTTGCCCTTACCCAAGGGATGTGGCCCTCCATCCACTGGAGTTGGGGTCTTTTTATCCAGAATCCAATAAAAACTCTTGACAGGATACCTCACAATGTGTATTTCATGGCTGATTTGGGGGGGGGGGGGGCAGGGGTTGAAGGGGGTCACAGGTTCAGAGATGAAAGAAGAGGCAGAGGCTGGAGCTTTCTGGAGAATTTACTGACCAGCAGGGGTGGGGGTCACAGTGAGGCGCCCAACCGGGGATGCCCTGGGCAGGGTGGCCACACTTGCCGCAGTGGGGCTTGGGGGCCTTATTGCTGCTAGGCTGGGGCCTCCACCAGACCCCTGCCTCCCGCCCTCCACCCCCATTGCGGCCCGCGGACGCACACGCCCCATGCACATGCTCCCGTGTGCAGACGTGGGCGCGGCCGGGGGCCGCCCCCTTCCCTGCCAAGACCCTCTCCTGGCCTCGCTTCCCTCTGCCAGGACTGGCCCCAAGAGGCCGCCGGGCGCACAGGAAACAGCCGGGTTTAAGTAACAGACGTGGGCCCGGCACAGGCGAGACTGCAGCGCGTGGGGGCGAGCAGGTGGTCCTGGCGGCCCGCACAGGTGCCCGTGCCCCCCGCCCCGGTCCCCGTGCCCCGCCCAGCCCGGGAGACCAGGGTCCTGCCCCCAGACTGGCGGCCTTCCCCGCCCCGACCCCCTTTATAAAAAGAAGAGGAGACAGCACCTTCCGCTGGACACGCCCGGCAGCTGCGGGCGCCCTGGCCCGGGGCGGCCGTCCAGTCCCGTGTGCGTGGGCGCGTTGGCCGAAGGCCCCGCGAGTCCTGCGCGCGGCTCAGAGATGCCGCGGGCTCGGGTGGCCGTTGTGGTAGAGTTTCTGCTTCACGTGCACCATGTTGCCGGCCGCCTCCTCGAAGGGCCTGTGCGGCCGCCGGCCCAGCTCCCGCAGGCTGCACAGCTTGGGCAGCCAGGTCCACGAGCCATCTGCGGAGGGGGGCGCGGTCAGGGCGCGGCGCTTCTAAGGGGGCGTGGCTTCCGTGGGGGCGTGTTCTGGTGGGGGCGGGGTGGGGCCGGTGGGGGCGGGTACCGGCAGGGTCTTGTGGGAGGCGGGGCCTGGACCCGTTAGCCGGGGGCGGGGCAGGGCCGGGGTGACCCCGGGGCGGGGCCCGTGCCCCGCCGCCCTCACTCACCGTAGCGCCGGCCAGCCCTCCAGGCGCGCACGGCGCAGTGCAGGACGCCGTCCATCCACACCAGGAACCAGCTGATGCAGAAGCCCAGCAGCAGCCCCAGCATGAGGTCGATCTCCTGCTTGGTGACGTTGTCGGTCACGAAGTAGTTCTCGGAGGCGTCCACCACCGACTGGTCCCCGTCGTAAGGGATCACGTAGTGGATGTGGTGCCTGGGGGCGGCAGGGCGGGCTGGCACCTGTCCCGCGGGGCGGGCGGCGACCCCGGCAGGAAGCGGCCCCCTTCGCCCGCCCTGCTGGTCCTAAAGCAGCCCTCGGGCCGAGCTGAGGTCAGGAAGGGGCCGGAGGACTCGCCCAGGCAGGGCCGGCTCACCAGGCAAGAGGCTGTCCGCGGGGTGGGCATGTGTGTGAGGCCAGTGGTCGGAGCGAAGCGCCCGGGGGGCGGAGCGGGGGAGGGGCGCTTGCCCCTGTATCTCCCTCCTCCCTCCTCTGCCGCTGGGGCTCAGAGGCGACCCTGCTGGGTCACCGCCCATTTGCTGGCCCCCGGCTCTGCCCCTCTGTCCTCCCTTCTCATTGGCCCTTTCATCCTTGTCCTTTCTGCCCAAGGCTCCGCAGATCAGCCCTGCCTTGGGCCTCTGGTCTTCTCCTTCTGCTCCTTCATCCTTTGCAGGCATCTCCCCTTCCTCAGTTCTCTGTGGGGAGGCCCAGGGGGCTCTGCCTGGAGTCCATCTCTCACCCCCTCTCCCAGGGGGGTTCTCCTGCCCTGTCTCCACCGAGCCACATGTCTGTGGCTTGCTCTGCCACTCCTGGGATGTTCCAGCTGCCCAGACAGGGTTCCCTGGACTCTTGCCGGTTCCATCTCCCACCAAGGCCATGCGGTGTTTCTCACCCTCCCTTTCCTCCATTGTCCAGGCTCAGGCCATAAACCCTCTGAGCTGCAGAACTGTTTGCCTCTAAGGAACTCTGAATTCTCCGCACAAGGCTCCATCCAGCATCAGGCCTGTCAAGATTCCCTCCTCCTCCAAGAAGCTCTCCTGGGCCTAGAGATCCTGGGTGGGGTGGCCCCACTCAGGAGATCAGCACCCAGGACAACAGATCTGGGCCTGTCCCCACCTTGACCTCCTGTTTGGCCCACAGGAGAGCCCAGGAGAGGGACCTCTGGGTTCCACCCTTGGGTCTTGTCATCCCCGCTGGCTGCAACCCTTCCTCGTGCCTGGCAGCATGGGGACGGTTCTGGAGGCCTCCTTCCCAGAGGCCCACCTCTCATGGTCCCCTATCCTCCCTGAGCCCCTTTGCTGGTTTCTCCACCTCTCCTGCCTGCCCCCCACCCCGTCTGCTCTGAGCTCTCGCTGCCTGTGTGGCATCTCCACGTGGGATCTACAGACACCTCAAATTCATACCTAAAAATAGCTCCTCCCTCCCCGAACCTCTTCTCCCATCTTTGCCTCAGTTAGATGCCGGCACCTCCGCCTGGTGTTCAGCTGAGACAGTCCCTATCTCCCACCCCAGCCTCACAACTGGCCATGTTCCACACGCCCCCACAGGGACGGTCTCAAAAATGGAAAGCCCACTACTCCCCCAAGTCCCCTGTGGTTCCCTCCTCCAGGTGTCCCTGCACCAGCGGGTCCATGCAGTGTCTTCCTCCCGGTAGGAGCCCCCCGGGGTCGGCAGCAGGCAGGCCTCTCCTCACACCCCTCCTGCTCCTTCTGGGAACTCCTGGAGGCCATTCTGCTCAGCATGTCCAGAGTGGGACCAGTCCCAGCAGTGGGGCCATGGCCACAGCCCCACAGAGCAGAGGCCACGAGCCCTGCGGCGCAGTCAGCAAGGATGGCCCGATACCTGGCAGCCATGCTTGTCTGAGCACAGTCTGTCAGTAGCCACCAATAAGTGATGGAGAAGTATTAGTCCCCTCCCAGAATGTGCAGCAGCTGCCGGTCCCCTAGGAGTAGACACCATTCCTGACCCGTGCAAGGCCCCAATCACCTGGGCGACCAGGGCAGGCAGGCCACACAGGTGCTACTAACACAGAGCCTCCACTGTCACCTCCTGCCCTACCCAGCCTTCTGGGCCCAGGACCCCTGACAGGGCCTTCCACAGGCCTGCTGCTCCCTGCCCCTGACACACAGCTGGGGAGGCAGGGAACTTGAAGATCAAGCTGCCAAGAAGCCAGAAATGCGCCTGGGTCCCTGTGAGCCAGATGAGGCCAGGGCCCCAACCACCCATGGTGGCTCAGGACCTCCAGAGGGTCAGAGATCACCACCTGTGCCCCCATCACTGGCCTGGCATCTGCTGTTCCTCCCAGCCCCTGCCCCTCCTCCTTCTCCAAGTCAGGCCCCTGGGGGCAGGGGCTCAGGTCTCACTGGCACACGTATTTTCATGATGTGTACATACTTGAGTCTTGCCTGGGCCACGCATGCTACCTGTGCCTGCCTGAGGTCCGACGTGTGTTGTGTATACACGCTGGCCACATGCACAAGACATGGCGTGTATACCATGGACTCAGGCCCACGAGTTCCACATGTGTGCATGTGCACACTTGCCCAGGCATGAGCACAGTGCGCATCACATGTGGACACACATGCACGCAGTCTGGCGCACAGCTACCCTCTGTGGAGGCTGTGGCATCTGCGTGGGTTTGTGTGCACGCAGACACTGCCTGCTGGCACATGCACTTCAGAGCATTCATTTACACATGTGTCCTCCGTGTAAAATTCTCCATACAGGCATGTCAAAGGCATACACATGTGCAGGCTCGCTCCACATGGCATGTGCACACATGGATAAAGTCCATTGTGGCAACTTGTATACATGGTTTACACACATACTTCATGTGCAAAACTGTTCTCTGCAGACACACTCGCTGTGCCCACATGGAGCACAGTCTTTGCTGTATGTTGTATTTATGATATACATGTACTGTGCATACACATATATGTCGTCAAGATATAAGAATACATTATACACTGAGTTCACGTATCCTGTATGAAGTGATGACACAGCACACATGTGGACACACACACCCAGAAACTCCACATCTGCAACAGGGGCGGCTCTCCATGATTTCTGCATCCACAGACACGCTAACCTAGCCTCGGCTTGCACTCTGTGGGCACTCATTTTACCTGAGTCCACATATACTCTGGATGCTGCATATGACGCATACACGCATCCTGGGCAAATACACTCTGCAAACACACCCTGTCTGCCCAGATGGGTCCCCAGTGTGAGGTCACAGGCACATACACGCGGGTCATTACACAATAGCCCACACATGTAAAATGTGCATTCGTCATGTTTACAGGACTGAAAGTCTGGGCCTGGTGTGTGCACACTGCCAGCCTCTGGGAGGGTCTCAGGAACACCTTGGTTTAACCTGCCCATAGTCATGGCTGTGTCGGAGGCAATGGTGCTGATCTCATGCCTTTCCTTAGTTTGGGGCTGTGTGTACCAGGAAAGAATATGGGGATCTCTGGAAAAGAGTGGCCACCCACCCAGCAAACTCTTGGTGGTTCCTGGGCAGCACACGTGAGGGTTGTTTAAACTCCCCTCTCCACCTTCCCTAATGTCTCTGTGTTCTGCTTCCACCTACTGCTCTGCACCCACAGGCATGTAGCATGCTTAGTGCATGCTTAGTGAGGCATGTAACTGTCCTGTCTCTCTTGCACACACACATACACACCCCACCCATTGTGTGCATACATGTCCCTGGAGCAGATATACAGGCCAGGGGTGAGGAACACAGCTTCTGGGCTCATGCCCCAAGTTCCTTGCTAGCTGTGTGACCTTGGGCAAGTCCCTATCCACTCAAGCATCTTTCTGCTATTTGGTTCCAGTGTGAGGGCTTCCTGGGGGGATGGTGTGCATGCGAGTGTGTGTGTGTGCTATGTGTACGTACATGTATATGCACAGACAGTACACATATGCGCGTCTCATGAGAAGATGTTTATTTTGTACATGGACGTACAAACATGCATGGCCAGGAAGACTCCGTTGCTACATGTGCACACAGTGCATGTAGGGGGCCTGGGCTCCTCCCCCGGCTCTCTGAATGACCTTGAGCAAGCCACACCCAGCTTTGCCTCAGTTCCTCCTCCTGCAACCAGAGGGTTGGACCAGACGCCCCTCGAGGTAGGCCCTGCCCACCTTGACCTTCTGCACTTCCCTGTACCTGGCTTGCAGGAAAGTTCATGAACATTAGTGCAGGGCCTGGGGAGGATGGTGTACTCTGTGGGCACAGCCCTGCCCAGGATCTCTCCTGACACACAGGGCTGGGCTGTTGCTTTCCTGGCCTCCAGGCCCTGGACCAGGAGGCCTGGGGCCCATCCTGCCCCTCACCCTGGCAAAGGCCCTTGCACTACAGGCATTTTGGGAGGGGGTCCTAACTACTCAGGCATGCTCCCCCTCCTGGAATCGGATTGGCCAATCCCCAGGTGCCCAGCAGAGACTGGGCAGTCCTTCCCCCGCGGGCCTAGCGCAGTCCTGCAGCCAGGCCTGCTTGGGGCTTGCCAGTGCCCCCTGGGCCCTGCCACCACCGCACATGTGTGATCACGCGTGTGCCCCATCGGGCGCGGACTCACCGGCCACAGTTGCAGTGGCAGACGCGGTCCTCGCCCCGCAGATGCGGGAGGATGTAGTTGTGGAATCGGTCCAGCAATGCGTTCATGTCCATCAAGCACGCGATGGCCTGGAAGAGCCCATGACCGGTCAGCGCCGAGGAGCGGGCCTGGCTGGGGCCCTGGGGCGTAGGGTGGAGGGGTGGGGGCGGCGCGCTGAGGCTAGGGGAGCGCAGGCCAGGGAGAGGGGTACCCGGGGCAGCCCCAGAATCGGGGAGCTGGGGGCAGTCGGGATGGGAAGCCCAGGCCAGGATGGGGAGCGCGGCGCTGCCCGGAGGTGGGGAGCGCAGCCCAGGACCGGGAGCGCAGGCCGGGATGGGGAGCGCGGGCCAGCCCGGGATGGGGAGCGCAGGCCGGGATGGGGAGCGCGGGGCAGCCCGGGATGGGGAGCGCAGGCCGCGCGGGCCGGTAAACAAGGCGCGGGAGGTGGGGGAGGCGGCGCGCGGGCGCGGGAGGCGGGCGCGGGCGCACGGGAAGCCCCTCCGCTCACCATCACGATCGACGCCCCCAGAATCATGAAGATCATGGTGTTCGCGCTCATGGACATCGGGCGGGGCCGGGCCGGGCCGGAGCGCCGCCCCCCGGCCCCGGCGCCCCCCCGGCCCCGGCCCGATGCTGGGCCCCCGCCGCCTCCGCAGAGGTCAGCCAGCCGCGCACCCGCCGGGGAGGGAGGCGCGGGGCGGGGCGGGCAGGGGACGCGGCCGCTCCCGGGGTCGCTCGGCCGCCCGGCCGCCGCGCTCGCCGCGCCCGCGCGCTCCGCTCCGCCCTCGGCCTCCTCCCTCCGCGCGCTCCGCGCCGCTCCGGCCTCCACCGCCTGCCCGCCCTTCGCGCCCGCCTCCCGGGAGGGGCCGCGCCGCCCGCCCCGCCCCGCCCCGCGCCGCCGGCCGGACCCCTCCCCGGGGGCCGCGGGGCGGGATCTCGTCCCCATTTGGCCAGGCCGGGCCGTCGTCTCCCGCCCGGCGCCCCTGGCCCCAGGCCACGTCCCGACCAGAACGAGCAGTCCTGGAGAGGACCCTGGGGCTCCTCCCCGGACCCTCCTCCAGGGTTTCGGGGTCGCAAGCACCTGCCTTTAGCAGAGGGCCTGCAGGGCCGCTGGGGAGCTGCCAGGGAGCTCACTCCAAAGCCATAGCCAATGGCCCAGCAAAGACCAAAGAATGCCCCACAGTGGTGGCATCCTCTCTTCGGGACTGGGTAGCCTGAAAGTCCAGGCCAGTGTCCATTACACTCCTCAGGCTGCCCCCTGATCCCGGGAGCCTGGGGAGGAGTCCACAGCCCCAGGATGGCACACGAGCTCAGGAGTCCCCGACACTTCCCCATGGAGACCTGAGGTTTTCCAAAACCTCTGGAAGTCAGGAGGGGTCATGGGGAAGTGAGGGGACATCTGATACCAGCCCCAGAAGCTGCCATAGAAGGGGCTCCATGCTTCCAGCAGTCCTCGTGGGCAGCAGGACCTCAGGGTATTGCTAGGAAGTCAGGGCCCCCACAGGCTCAAGTGTCCCACCTCCCGACTTCAGAAATGGTGTGAGTGGCAGGGTCAGGCCCAGGGGTCCCTCCAGAGGGCCCAGGCCAGCAGGACCAGGCCAGAGCAAAGACAAATGGCAACATCAACTTATCGGACCACTGTTACGTTCTTTCCTAGTAAGACCAAGCCCATTGCTTTATTCAGATTATTTGTACATTACAGCAAGTTTGAGGGTGGAACGAAGGAGCCACAATGAAGCCACAAATGCATGGGGGAAAGGTACTAGAAACCGTTGTTTACTGTTTTGGTTAAAGAAAAAAAAACTTTATAATCAACATCCCACTCGTTAAGTCAAAGCGGACAGAAAAACTTGATTGTTTTTAATCTGGCATTTATGTGTAGCTTTGTGTTTCATATGTACAATTTATTGGGTACTGCTACCGTCGGCCGGCAGAATACCTAAAGGTAAAAACAAATATCAGGAGGGAAAAAATATTAACAAAAGGAAGCTCAACAAGGCGCTTCAGGAGGGGGCGGCGCGCCAGGCCAGGCAGCTCAGTAGAAGCAGACCGTGTGCAGGAAGGCTCTGCCACTCTTCTCCTCGAACTCCTGAAGCAGCTCGTCGATCTCATTCTCCATGTCCTCCGTGTGCTGAATCTGGAGGGAGCACACAGGCCGTCTAGAGCAGGTGCACAGGTAGGGGCGCCCCTGTGGGCACAGCCGGGGCTGGGGGTTTGGTCTATCACCACTGAGCTGCCTCCCACCTGTCCTGGGGCCGTCCTGGGCCCTGGAGGCTCCTTCCCACCCACCCCAGGCTAGGGCCTGAGGATAGAGGGTTCAGGATAGTTGCACCCCGAGGCACAGAGCGGCTGCCCCAGGATGTGAACTTTGGAACTTCACAGACCCCCTGCCCACACTCTGCAAAGGTAGTGGCCTGCTCAGGCACTGAGCGAGAAGGCTGGCCCATGCCCTTCAGTGGCCTCCACCCACTAGCTGTCACTACCATCCCTCCAGGTTGTGAGACCCATATGTGTGTGCAGATATGGCCAGACATCCCCTGGTGGTGAACCACTGCCCTAAAGGAGCAGGTGCAGTGGACAGCCCAAGGATGATTCAGGGCTGGTATGGGCTGGACGGCGGCTGAGGCTGGTCATTGGCCCCAGGCCTGGCCTGTAAGCAGTGCCTCTCTGATGTGAAGAGCAACCCCTCTGTATAACTTGTTTCTCATCAGGGTGACCCAAATGGAAGTCACGTGTGCAACTTCTGGGACATGTGTCCCTCTTCAGCCCTTTCTCTTGTGTGGTGGCCAGAACAAAGGCACAACTGCTAAAGCTTCAGCAGCCACGCTGGGCCATGAGGCATCTTGGGAACAGAAGCTGTTCTGGGCGCAACAACATGAAAGCAGGACCTGGGCCCCTCACATGGCAAATGAGTCCAGGCCCACCTGTCTCTGGACTTCTTGGTAAGCCATCTGTCTCCCTCATTTTTCTGTCCTTCAAAGTCAGCTGACCTAAATGCAAATCTCCCAGGAGGAAAACAGTATAGGACATATGGGTCTCTTCCTGGGTAGGTCCCTAGGTCCTTTTGTCGTATCTAAGAGGAAATGTTTTTGCTCTGAGCACAGCTGCACAGCAGCTGCAAAGCCCCCATGATTTTCTACACAAGGGAGGATACCCAGGGCCACGGGGGAAGTCCAAGGACTGATCAGTCCTGAGGGTGAAGAGGAGCACATTGCAGCATCCATGGAGCTTGGACACCACCTCTGGGGCCCCTGGGCTCTGCCAGATATGACTAGGGTTTTGGCAGAAGCTCTTGTGGGCACACAAGAGCAGGGCACCGCATGACCATCAAGCAAACAGAAAGCATAGGGGGCAAGTTAAGCCAAAGCCGTTTGGTCGATACGCAAACCTGTGGGCACCTCTGCATCTACTTGGGTTTTAGTATTTGAAAGTAAGTCAAACGTGAACACAAATGGAATCGCATGATAGCCCCTTTCCTGGTAAAACCGTGGTGTCAGGAGGAGAGGGTCCTGGGCCCAGGAGCAGGTGCAGGATACTCACACACTGGCACAGCTCACAGATGAGGAATGCCCCCAGGGTGGCCTCCTCGTGGTTGTCCTGAATGTCCACATTGATCACGTGCACCGGCTGGCAGGTCTCCTGCTCTCTGGAATTCAGATCTGACAGGAACAAGATGACACAACTGTCAGAGGCCTCGGAACCAGGTCACAGGAGGGCAAGGGGCCACCGGCTCCAGCTGCCTCTGGCCTTGGGGTGATAAACCAGGCTGAGGACTTCCTTCCTGAGAAGGAGACTCACACTGAATACCGTGTGACTCAAGGAAACATGGTGATTCTCGACCTCGTCTCACGAACAGCCAGGCTGTCCTGGGGGAAAGCATCCCAGAGCATTTCACTCACGAAGAACCAGTCCCCTGGTTCCTTCACTTCACACATACTCTTCCTGTGCCCCAAAGACCTTAAAATCTGCACCACAGGGTCAGCTCACACACTGGTGCTCTGCTCCGATGCATGTGGCCAGCCAGAAGCCACGGAGGCAGGAGTCCCAGCCACCTCACTACGGCCAAACCCACCTTCTCAGCCCACAGGAACCAACGGACACGTCAGGGCAGCCATGGTGACCATGATGGGCAGAGATGAGAGCCCAGGCATGGGGCACACTCAGTCTGGGGCCTTACCTTCTACCACCTGATCGTACACTCTCTCTTCACAGGTGAGGATCAGATCGAACAGGTCTCTGCAGTTCTGGAACCTTTCTGGCCGAGGCTTGATCCTCTTATTTCTGTCCAACATATGTAAGATGCCATTCTGCGTATAGCTAAGTGCTAGAGTCAAGGAACTTTATAAATACTTTTATCAATCCCAGCCCAGTGCCTCAGTGTGAGCGCCGGCAGAGCCGCCAGGCCCCTCTCCAGCAGTGCATCAAAGCATTGGAGGGGTTGAGGCAGTTCTGGGGAGCAGGCCATGCCTGTCCCCAGGGTCCTGCAAAAGACAAGCCAGTGGGGGAGGTGCTCACTCTAGACCCTGCAGACTGGCCCTGAGCAGCATGTACTTGCTCCCCTCAGCCTGCCAGGCCGGCTGCAGCCCTCTGACCAATGTTCTCCAGAAAGCAGACCTGGTGTCTGCAACCTTTGCTTATCTTTCTGTAACCTGCTGCTCTGACTCCTCTTGCAGCAACTTGGTGACCATTCCCACTGAACACAAGCCCTTCAGCAGAGACAGAGTCAGTCCCCCAAGGGCTCAGTTACAGTGGTACCAATAAGATCTGGAGACCACCAAAATAGGGAACTTCAGAGAAAGAAGTGGGCAGAGGGGGAGAAGCCCAGGTCAGGTGGGAACAGAGAGTGAGGGTGGCCCCAGTCCAGAGTCCCTCAGAGCTGAGGGGATGCACAGGCCCCAGAGCAGGTGTGCAGCCACACCCCTACCCATCCCCAGTGGCCCTGTCTATACTCCGGGCCCTAGGGACAGGGTTCATCGCCCCCAAGGAACTGGGCCAAGGGCCCTCAACATGCACGCATAGCCCATGGTCTCTAAAGGTCCTTCTAGACAGCTGGGGATCAGCATCTCCTTAATCCTATTCAAGAGACACAGACTAGCTGAGGACTTCTGAGAAAACGTTTAATGGCTTTCCTAGATTTTAAATTATAACAATTTACTTAAGCTATTACTGAAAATACATTTCCCTACCTTTTTGGACAGTGAAAAGGGCTTCTAGAATATATTCAAATGGTCTAAGAGTGTTAAGTTGAAAAGACACTTGACTATTAGCTGAGAGGGCTCTGGCTCCTGGTCATCTCCCATGTGCTTGTCCTGGTGGCCGCTGCCTGCACCTCCCTGCTCCGCCCCAGTGACTGCTCCATGGTCAGGTAGCACATGGTCCTTCAAATGCTTAGCATTGAAGTCCAGGGTAAAGAATGGCTTAGGGGAGGCCAGTGTGTCAGAGCAGGATGGGCAAGAGGCAGCTCAAGCATTCAGAACAGCCTGTGATCCTGCTCCCCGCACACTGGCCAGGCAGATGAAGACTCTGGACCTCTATCATGTCCTCAGAGACAGACCTGCCATCCAGCAGAGCACAGCTCTGGGACTCACTGTAGCTCCCAGGAATCATCCTTGAGGAGGGATGGCCAGCCACCAGGCACTCCAAGGCCTCGCACAACTGTTCCTCCTCTACTTAAGCCTCAATTATTGATGTAAAGAAAAACAAATGAAACTAGGATTCATGTCATTAAGGAAAAAGTGCTTAGTTCAGGGATCAAACACTAA